ATGGCGATCGGGGCTTTTTTGCGGAAAACCGCGTCTAGATTGGCCACGGACGCTTTTCCGCAAAAAGTGCTTTTGCAGAAAAGCATCCTGCCAATCTAGATGTGCTTTTCCGAAAATGCTTTTAACGGAAAACTTTTCCATTAAAAGCATTTTCGGAAATTCATGCCAATCTAGACGTAGCCAGGATGTTTGTTCGGAAATCATCTGTATGGAATCTCAAGTGTCGTTACCACAGAGCATAGAAAATTACCATCGGTAGCCTTGGAACTCAAGCTTAGGCACACCCAGGAAGGACACATGCTTTTTGAACTACAGGCAGTCCCCGGGTTACATGGATCCGACTTACATCGGATCCCTACTTACAAACAGGGTGAGGCAACCCCGCACTAGCTGCTTCCCCCCAGCAGACCAGGGAGACGCGGAGCGGCTTTTCTCAGCAGACACCTCAGCTTGAGAATAAAGGACTGAGGGAAGTGAGGTGTGGGAGAATAAAACTGAGCTCTGGAGAAATGTTTGACTAGAGTTTCCCCTACAATATGTACCAGTTCCGACTTACATACAAATTCAACTTAAGAACAAACGTACAGTCCCTATCTTGTACGTAACCTGGGGACTGCCTGTATTTATTCAGATGAATATTTAATGACTCTCAAATGGAAGTCAAACTGCCTGCTCAAGCCAAGGCTTTTTGTCATTTTTTTAACCCATCAGTTAATAGTGTCTGTAACATTCCCTATCTGAGTCTGGGACAGGTCTTGCATTAAAATACTGGTTTAGAATAGTGTTTATAACAGTGTTTCATCCTTTTGTATATAGCACTATAGCTCTAGGCAGAACTTCAGAATTTTTTCTCCACTGGATGGCTTCAGCTGACAAGATGTAATAGAACCATTGTGGACATGCATCACTGCAGGCCCTATCATTTCCACTCCCTGTGTTTCTGAAACAACAGGATTAATATGCCAATTCCTTGGAAGATCCATGACTACCAACTTCCCAGCCATGTTGCCAAAACGCTACAATTCATACAATTGTCATTGGTTCAGGTTCTTAGTGAAATGACTGTGTAACTCCTGGAAATTGTTCACTTTGAACTCTGCCAGGAGGAGGGGAGTAATAATTGTGGCAGTGCTAAGATGGCTCCCTGCCAAAGGAAGCAATGAAATCCTTGCTAATGCCCATCTTGTATTTGTCCCCTTGTCATTTTCAGTATGTGAGTTCATGTGCCCAGATGAGTAATTAGACAGCCATTCTGCATACATTTTAAAACTTAACTGATAAGGTTTAGGCTGAAGGATGCTCTTTACTCTACTTGAGAGCAAACCGCATCAGCGGTGTCACTTTAATAGGGACATTTCTCTTACCTGTTTCTCATTTTCAATGAATATCAGATCTCTACACTTAAAGTACTCTGCCACTCATTTAAATGAAAAGCTGTTCAGATTTATAGCGTCTTTCTTTTCAAGCAGTTTAAAGAACATTAACTAATTCAAGCATTAAATTCTCCTATGAAATAAGTAAGGAATGTATTGGGACTGCTTCACCTGCTACAGAAATAATGCTGCCACCTCTGGGGTATAGTGCAGCAGCAGTTGTTTAATTCAGCGATTCTACATATATAGAGGATGCCTTATCTGATCTAACTGCAGAGAGAAGATAAGTAGAAGAGTTAAAATTTAGCCAGAACAAAGGGGGTCCAATCTTTTTCGTAAAAACCACAATGGGAGTTTTAATGATGTCTTAGTCCAAAGACAAATCCGCCAGGAATGTCTTCACTGCAGACTTAATTCTGATTCTCAGGACCTAGGTCTAAGCACTCAGGTTAGCTTTACCTGGGCATTAATGGCCACATTGTAAAGCCACAACCTAGTTACTGCTATACTCACCCGCATGTGTCACTAGGACTCCTGCAAACATAAACCATGTAGCTCATTGTGTGGCAGTAAGGTGAGCCACTCCATGATTCGTTTCCAGTGAATCGTAGAGTGGAACTTGTCTGCTTTTTTGGGAATACAGGAGGAATTGTGGGAAGGATGGATGCATTAACAAGCATGTTGTAAGCAAAACACAAGGGCTACGTCTACATTGGCCCCTTTTCCGGAAGGGGCATGGTAATTTTTGAAATCGCAATAGGGAAATGCGCGGGGGATTTAAATATCCCCCGCGGCATTTAAATAAAAATGTCCGCCGCTTTTTTCCGGCTTTTAGAAAAGCCGGAAAAGAGCGTCTACACTGGCCCCGATCCTCCGGAAAAAGCGCCCTTTTCCGGAGGATCTTATTCCTACTTCAAAGTAGGAATAATGATCTTCCATTCTGCTATACCAGTTATCCTCCTTTGTTCTTGTATGTTACTATCAACTCTAACTTTGCCCTTAGATTAGCTCCCTTGCTGACATCCTATGAAAAGCTCTTTTCTAAAAGCCGGAAAAAAGCGGCGGACATTTTTATTTAAATGCCGCGGGGGATATTTAAATCCCCGCGCATTTCCCTATTGCGATTTCAAAAATTACCATGCCCCTTCCGGAAAAGGGGCCAATGTAGACGAGCCCCAGTAGTAATTATTCCTTCCTACTTCTGAGCTGATTAGGCCTCAACTGGAGTATTGTGTCCAGTTCTCAGTGTCATATTTCAGGAAAGATGTGGATAAATTAGAAAAAGTCCAGAAAAGAACAATAAAAATTATTAAAGGTCTAGAAAACAGGACTTATGAGGGAAGAATGAAAGAACTGGGGTTGTTTAGTCTGGAAAGGAGAAGACTGAGAGGGGACATGATAACTTTCAAGTACCTAAAAGGGTGTTACAAAGAGGATGGAGGAAAATGATTCTCCTTAACCTCTGAGGATAGGACAAGAAGCAATGGGCTGAAACTGAAGCAAGGTAGTTTTAGGCTGGATATTAGGAAAAGCTTCCTGTCAGGGTAGTTCCACACTTGAATAAAATTGTCTAAAGAGGTTGTGGAATCTCTATCATTAGAGATTTTTAAAAGCAGGTTAGACAAATACCTGCCAGGGATGGTCTAGGGTGCTTGGTCCTGTCATGAGGGCAGGGGACTAGACTTGATGACCTCTTGAGGCTCCTTTCAGTTCTTAGATTGTTTGCCTGGAAAGTCTTTGCTTCTGACTCATGGCTAATCACACTGTCTCTGCCTCAGGTACCCAACCGGCATTTATGCCTTTGAAAGTCTCCCCCTGAATGTTAGCTCCATATGTTGGTGACTGTCCCTTGAATAAGCTGAAGCCCCACACAAACGGATTGCTTTTATATGTACTTATATTTGGTACTGTTTCCAGTCCTGGTGGTTCTAGGGTTATTATTGTAATAAAAATAGCACTCTCTTGGGGTATGTCTACACTACCACCCTCGTTCGAACTATGGTGGTTAATGTAGTCAATCGAAGTTGCAAATGAAGTCCGGGATTTAAATATCCCGGGCTTCATTTGCAACTTCGATTGACTACATTAACCCCCCTAGTTCGAACTAGGGTGGTTAATGTAGTCAATCGAAGTTGCAAATGAAGTCCGGGATTTAAATATCCCGGGCTTCATTTGCAACTTCGATTGACTACATTAACCCCCCTAGTTCGAACTAGGGTGGTTAATGTAGTCAATCGAAGTTGCAAATGAAGTCCGGGATTTAAATATCCCGGGCTTCATTTGCAACTTCGATTGACTACATTAACCCCCCTAGTTCGAACTAGGGTGGTAGTGTAGACCTTGCTGTTGGGTAGATTCTGTCTGGCAGGCTGAAGTGACCTCACGGACCACATTAACTGGAGTTATTTTACCATATGTAAGAATCACACAAAAACTGTCGGCAGCTATAGCAATCCCATGAGCTCTGTATAACTTCTGTAGGATAAATTGCACAAGGTTCCTGTGAAAGTTCTCTGCATCACCTCAGTTCTCACTTTCTGTTCTCTGCTCCTCTTGCTCTCTCTCAATTGTTTCTGCCTTTGTTATTTATTGTTTGTATTGTGACAACCCAACAGTATGCTATGTGCTTAGACAGCTATAAGGACAAGGTCAGCACTCCCAGGAACTTAGGGTGAGATTTACAAAGGCATTTATGTGCCTAAAGATGCAGGTAAGTGCCCAGTGAGATTTCTGCAAGCACTGAAGTAGGTTAAACACCTAATTCTGTTGGGGCAGGCACTGTCATTTTGTTCTGTGTTTGTACAGAATCTAGCAAAATGGAGTCCTGGTCCAGGCCTCAGGTGCTACCATTATAGAAATAATACGTAGTGATAATGTGTCATGATTCAGATCCCCAAAACAATGAGATATTTTGAAAAGATCGGGGGTTGGCATTTGCCTGGGAGTTTTATGTTTAGTGTGCATGTTTGTGTGTGTGTGCACATGCATGGAGAGAGAGAGAGAAAGAGAGCCAGAGAGACAGAGAGAGAGCGAGAGAGAGCACACGCGCCTGTGTGGCCCACTTTCTCCAATGAATTGAGTCAGGTGATTCTGGCTAATGTTGAAGGAGCTCTCTCTGCCACATCGGCTCATCCCTTATATGGCAGTGAATGCCGCCCCCCAGCCTCCTAATCAATCCAGCCCCATCAGTCCCCACAACAATTTGGCACCCAACAGTTTAGCCCATCCCCACACTCCTCACCCCACATTAGTTCAGGCTTAGGTGCTACCCCTCGGACCTCACCCAGGTCCTCACCACATTTAACCCTAGAGAGGGGCTGTAATTGAGCCCCCTCTCCC